TCGAGTCCCGCATCGGGCTCCCTGCTCAGCGGGGAGTCTGCTTCTCCCTCTGACCCTCCCCCCTCTCATGTGCTCTCTCTCTCTCTCTCTCTCATTCTCACTCTCTCAAAATAAATAATAAATCTTTAAAAAAAAAAAAAAAGGGTGAGAAACATAGTCGTTCATCAGTGATACAGGGTTAATATGTGGCAGTAGGTCACAGGGAGGAGCATTTGGAAGTAACACGCAAGCTGTTTACCTTCCCTAAGCTTCAGTGCCCTCAACTATAAGTTGTAACAATCTTAGAAGGCTGTTGTGAACATGCAAAGAGAATGGCAGACCCTCCCACACTGCTGGTGGGATTGTAAAATGGTGCAGTCACTTCAGAAAGCAGTTTGGAAGTTCTTCAAATTGTTAATCATAGAGTTATTATATGACCCAACAGTTCATTCCACTCCTAGGTACCCAAGAAAACTGAAAACACGTGTTCACACAGAAACTTGTACATGAATGTTCATAGCAGGATTATTCATAACAGCCAAAAAGCAGAAATAACCCAAATATGTATCAACTGACAAATTAATAAATAGTGTGGTACATCCATACAGAGGGATGTTACTCGGCAGTAAAAAGGCATGAAGTAGTGACATATGCTATAACGTGGATGAACCTCGAAAACATTATGCTAAGTGAAAGAAGCCAGTTACAAAAGATCACGTGTTGTATGATTCCATGTATATGAAATGTCCAGAGTAGGTAAATCCATAGAGAACAAAGATGACTGGTTGCCAGGGCTGTGGGTAAGGGGAGATGGGGAGTGACAGCCAAAACTACTGAATTACACACTTCAAAAGGGTGAATTTTATGATAGGTGAATTATTTCTCAAAAAAGCTGTTATCAGAGAGAAAGAGGATGAATGGCAGTTATTATTATGATGGCCCTACACACCGGGCTTCTGCACCAAGTTTAGCTGAAGAAAAGATAAGCCACCATCTAAGTGGATGAGCCACCGTCAGTCTTATGGTGCCTGAAACATCAAAGAGGCCTCCTGGCCACTGGTCACTATCAGTTTGTCAATACCAGGCTTGAGGTTCTGCTGAGCAAATCCGGGAGGAGGTACAGCAGAAGCTCTAGGTCATGGTTCCCTCACGTGGGAAAATGACCTCCCTGAGAGCCAGGCGGGGGTGGGGCACAGAAAGCGGGTTGATGGATTGTGCTCTGTCAGAGGAACTTCCTTCGTGATAGGGGCCTCGGGTGAGACACTGCTCTGTCAGGGTGTGTTCACGTGGCCAGAAAATTATCCCAGGATGCTGGCCAAATGTACATGTAGGACATCTGTCTGAGCCATAGCTCACATGGTGCCATGGGGTCCAGGTCAGGCACCAGGCATCCAAGTGGGGGCTGTGGCTGTCAGGCTCTCCTAGCCTCTCCCACTTTCATGGTTTGCCTCCCTGGCACACATCTTCAGCCTGATTAGGTCTAAGAATAAGAACCATGGGGCCTCTGCAGGGCCTCGTGAGCCTTGCCTCAAGGAAAAAATGCAGTTTTGTTTTAAACTGTCTCTTTGAGTCAGGGTTACAGGTGTGAGCATCTGGGCCTAGCGAATAAACTATATGTTTTGCAAACATTTCCAATTAATGTATTGTTTTTATTGTCCTTTCCACAGGTCTTTCGTGATCCTGACACTTGGCTACAAGCACCGTGTCCTTCAACCCAGGGGCAACAGCAAAGAGCTGTTTAAAAATAACCTGAATGGAGATACTGTGAAGCCACGGGGCTGATTTTCCTCCTGCCTGTCATCAGTGCTTAGTGTTGGTTATTAATACCTGAGTGCCAGCACTGCACAAAAGCATGGTTCCTGGCGGGGGCACCAGTGCTAACCCAGCAGGTTGGCCTCTGTGGGGGGACAATGCCTGGCAGACATGGGTGAGGGAGGGCAGCCTGCCTCGGATGGAGGGTGGGCACCGGGAGGCCTTCTGCTCATGGTGCAGGCAGGACCCAAGGAAGTCCAGAAACTGCAGGTTCAGAAAGTGATTTGAGGGTGGAAAGCTTACCTTATTTGTACTCAGAGAATAGGCCTGCGGGAAATGTTTATCAGATGAATGTGTAAGACAATGAGGTGGGCCAGAGGGGCCAGGGGGCAGTACAAACGTGAACAAAAACAAGAGGGGAAGGCACAGGTGCAGCGAAGGTGGGGAAGGCATCTTACAGTGTTGTGAGAGAGAGGAAAGGCCTAGAAAGAAGACTAGGTGGAAGGATGGAAAGGAAGGATCAAGTCAGCAGAGGGTTGTGGGTGGCTAGAAACAATGGGTAAAGAGTAGGGAAGGGAAGCAGTGGGCTGGCCAGGGAAGGGCCTCCCTCTGCTTCTTGCACCCCTGACCCCTATGGGCAAGAGCAGGGCAGAAGAGCGCCTGCACCATGACCATAGTCACGAGCCCCGTGTCAGACCACTCAAGCCCAGGTTCTGGCTCTGCCACTCACTGCCTGTGTGACCTCAGCGAGGTCCCATCCTTTCTCTGTGTTTTAGACTCCTTGTTGCAAAATTAGGGGTGATAATATTATCTGTCTCTTGGGTTGTGCTTAGTAGACACCGAAGGACATGTTAGTGGTTGTGTTGTTGTTAATACGAGTTTGTTGAGCTTCATACAAAATCTTTTTAAAAAATGTAGTATTTTACCATTTTTCCTGATGTTGACAGATTTAAATTTTGCTAGTTAGGAAATGAGGGTGTGGGAAGTTGGGGTAGAAAGGGGAAGTCAGTCATTCATTGTTAGGGGCCTGTGGAGAAGGGGGATTTGTGGCCGAAGTGAAGTGGGCAAAAGGGGAAGGAGACAGAGGCTGTGAGAGTCGTCCCCGTGACAGGCCTCTCTGGCCAGAGCACAGGGAAGAGCAGGTCCTCCCACAAGCTGGGCAGCACTGGCCAGGCTGTCCGTTGGCACTGTCGCCTGCACTGTCCAGACACCTCAGGGCTGGCCTCTGGGTGAAGGCAGATGTTGGAGTTCAAGGGGAACAGCCTCTCCTGACCAGACTGGCTGATATGGAACAGAGAGCAGACTGGGAATAAACCCCAATTAGACGCCACATCATTCCAATAAGTAATAATAGCCCCTTGAGCAATCCCAGTCCAGTCTCTCACATGAAGAGATCAATTCTCCAAACTGCTTCCAATGCAACAGTTGTGGATGAAGGCTCCTGCAAAGCCTGGCACCTGGGTGTCCACCCAGGTGAGGGCAGCTGGAAGGTTTGCATCTTGTCTCTGGCACGTGAGCAGCAGACTTGGAATGGCAGCGAGAAGCCTTGCATCTGCACCAGCACGGAAACGCAAACAGGCAGCCATGCTGACACCTTCTCCGGAACCTTCCCAGTTTCTTCCACCTAACATGTCATTCTCGTGTGAGCCTGCCCTTGGAATGTGTATGCAAAAGGACAAGTTATATGACAAAAAGAGAAAGAAATGAGGATGAGGAGAGAAGTGACACAGAAAGTGGTAACCTGTTCCTCAGATCTTCCATCTTATCAAGCTGGAGGCTACCTTTCCTCTCTGTCCCCTTCCTGTCCTGACGAGATCGGTACCCACAGGACTGAGCATTCATGGATCTAGAGGTGGAATAAAAACTCAATCTGGGTGGCCACACAGCACATACTGCCAGCCCCCCTCTGTATCAGATAATGGTCTACAGTATTTAGTTCACTTCTATAGTTGTGAGGCATAAGATTTGTTTTCAATTTCTCATCCTTGTGGAAAGAGCTTCCTTCTTGGTTTAGGACCCTAGCCCCGCTTATTTGCTGTGTGACTTACTTAACTTCTCTGAACCTCAATTTCTTCATTTGTCAAATGAGGACCATAGTATATACTTCAAGAAATACTACTTCTATCTGATTTTAGGGTGATGGCCTACATGACTTACTGCCAGGACATGGCCAATCGTGTTTTTTCTTGGAGGAGGGCTGGATTTGCACGGAGTCCTTCATATATTCATGTAGAAACTACCATAAAACTCGACTGCATCAGTTTGACATCAAAGGTTCACCTTAAGATGATCACTCTGCCCAGAAAAGGATTTTTGGAAATCACAGCACTGACTGGTTCTGGGATGTAGGGACATCTGGCCACCTTTGCCCAGTCCCCGTGGGTTCCACCTCTGGATACAATGAAGTACGCTTCTGTCTGCTGCCGCCCCAGAGAGTCAGAACCAGGGTATTTTTCCGAGATCATCCAGTTCCCTCTCTGGAGCATGACTTAAACTAATTCAACATGGGTGGATGAAACCTTTGTTTTCAAAAACCTTAGGGAAGGGGCACCTGGGTGGCTCAGTTGGTTAAGTGTTCGACTCTTGATTTTGGCTCAGGTCATGACCTCAGGGTCATGGGATCGAGCCCTGTGTCAGGCTCCGTGCTCAGTGGGGAGTCTGCTTGGGATTCTCTCTCCCTCTGCCTCTGGACCTCCCTCTGCTCACATGCATCCTCTCTTTTTCTAAAATAAATCTTTAAAAGAAAAAAAACCTTAGGGAAGAAGATTTCACATGCTCTTCTACACACTTATGCCCATCCCTGAAAACTCATAACTAGGAACCTTTACATTAAGTCAATCATGAAAATCACCCAGTTTCAATATACTTAAACATGGTCACAAGAAACTAGAGTGGAAATTAGGAGGCAATCCTGTAAGAGCCTTGTTGTCACTCCATTAAAGATCAGAAATGGAAATCTTGGCACATACTTGCCACCTAAGTGGCTTAAGTCAAGTTCTTCATCTCAGCAGTAAACCTACCACTCTCCCCACAGTGTAGCCAGGAGGGGCCCACCTGGGGAAGAGGGCAAGTCATCGCTGATTCTTCTTTTTTCTTTTTTTTTTTAATCGCTGATCCTTGTTCTTTTTCTCTGAGGTCAGGGGCAATTTATCAAGATGGGGAAGGGGGTTTATTTAGAGAGGACTGTAGGTGGCTGATTATGAAAGGTCAGAGGAATGACAATTTTATTTGTATGGTTGCTCTAACCTAGATCTTCTGAAATCAGTTTTCTCCTGTACAGAACAGACATAAAGCCACTTGGTGAACTTGCATTAAATTTTTCTGATGATTTCAGTGGTGTCATAGGTTCTCTCTATCAGAATTGGTAGTGAGTCCTTCTTTGTTCCTAAATACATGCCATCTCCCCAGAAGAAAGACTATGAATGGTAACTGAAAAAGCACAGCATTGAGACTCAGGCGTGTCCAGGCTTGAGTCCCTTACCAGTAACTCTGGACATGTTAGTTGGTCTCTCAGAGGTTCAGTGTTTTTGTTTTTAAGATTTTCTTTATTTTAGAAATAGAGCTTGAGAGAGAGATCACAAGTGGGGGGAGGGGGGAAGTGGGTAGAGGGAGAAGCAGACTCCCCGCTGAGCGGTGTAAGAAAACTGGAATCATGACCTGAGCCGAAGGCAGATGCTTAACTGACTGAGCCACCCAAGCGCCCAGGCTCAGTGTTGTTTTTTTTTTTTTTTTTTAAAGATTTTATTTATTTATTTGAGAGAGAGAGAATGAGAGATAGAGAGCATGAGAGGGAAGA